ATTGGGGCCAGAGAGGCAACAGGCTGGCCCAAGGTCACCCAGCAGCAAGGCCAGGGCTGAGCAGGGGTCTTCCCACTCCAGGCCGTGTCTGCTCCAGGCTGGCACTACCCCTTAAGCCACAGATGGAAAAGACTAGCATCTCTGGTCCCAGATGAGCCTCCAGAGAGACAGACAGGAATTAGCTCAGGGCCCTGTTCTCAGCATGGAGCCCGTCCTCCTGGGAGCCCTGAGAGCCCGCAGGTGCAGAGGAAGGAGCACCGCCCTGGTGCAAGCCTCAGCTCCATCACGTGCTGACTGTGAGCCTGGCTCACCCTCTCTGACCCTCTGTGTCCTTCCCTGAAACAGTTGCCTCTACGTCCACGACTGGCTGGGGTGCCATGGGTGGATACAAACCCTAGAGCAGGGGTGGGCAAACTTTTTGACTCGAGGGCCACAATGGGTTCTTAAACTGGACCGGAGGGCCGGAACAAAAGCATGGATGGAGTGTTTGTGTGAACTAATATAAATTCAAAGTAAACACCATTACAGAAAAGGGTACGGTCTTTTTTTTTTTAGTTTTATTCATTTCAAACGGGCCGGATCAGGCCCGTGGGCCGTAGTTTGCCCACGGCTGGGCTAGGGCGCCATGGGTGGATACAGACCCCCAAGCCTGCCGCCCTCCTTGGGGTCTGGAGCTGTGATGCTCCCTGAGGTCCCCAGGAGAGCTCCCTGGTCGTGGGCCCCTGTCTCCAGCCACACCTGAGCTCTTCCGCACTGTGCCTGCAGGGTCCCTCCACCCCTTCCTCCCACTGCCCGCTTCCAGAGGGCTCTCAGCTGGGGGCTGAGGGAGGAGCTGTCAGGGTCCCTTCCCTGAACCGCTGCTGTGGGAGACATCGAGGAGGGAATCTTATTTAACAGAGGTCCAGACCCCCTGAAGACACACCCATCACCCTGTGTTAGAAGGTGTGCGCACACCCCTGGCGCACACACTTACAGTTTGCAGGGATTTGGCGACCAGCGCCCCGCCAACAGTGTCATGGGCCTCACCCGAGTAAATGTGGGGAGGATGGAGCAAGGCCTGGGGGAGGGGCAGGAGCAAAACTGTCTCACTCTCACCTCACAGGGCTGGACAGACACGGAGGCAGCCGCCACGTGGGGGGCTGCCCGGCAAGTGAGTGGCCCGCTGCCCTGCAGTCAGGGCCTGGAGGAAGTGGAGACCAAGGCCCCGCCCAAGTCCCAGGGACGTGAAGCAGAGGATCCAGGGAAGGTGACCGGAGACACGGGGCACGGAGCCCAGGGGGTGGCCAGGAGAGCGGGGTTGTCCTGGGTCCCCCCAGCTTTCCCTTGCCCGCCTGGGGGGCCTGGGAGTCTAAGAATGCCAGAGGCTCTGAGCAGGCCTGAGGGCGCCTGTGACTGTGATTGACACACAGAGGCGGTGGCCTCTGTGCTGGGACAGATGCACACAGGAGCGCTCGTGTGTGCGACCTGTGCTCGCACACGCTGTCCCTGCGACCCACAGGAGCAGAGCTCCCTGATGCGTCTCTCTAAGCTCTGCGTGTCACCAGTGTGGGTGGTGCGCACCTCTGTGTAGCTGGAGGCTGGGCGTACCTGGGTGGGGGTGCATGCCGTGTGTGTGCTCGCTGCCAGTGCCCTGCCACCAGGGTGTCGCCCAGAATACTGTGGCTATTAAAAGAAAGCCAGCTGTCGCCCAAGTGCCTATGGAACGGAATGCCGATGGCGATTAGAGAAGGCCATATTCTGGAACATGGAAATGCCACGCGCACAGGCCCTGAGGCTGCCCTCCCCCACCCCTGTCCTTCACTCCCACTCACACAGCACTCCCAGCTTCTGGGCTTTCTTGAGCTTCCCTAGCAAGGCCAAGACCACAGGCACTTTTCTGCTGTCCTTCTCCAACGCTCCTCCTGCATGTCCCAGAGAGGGGAGCCCGGGGCTGCCCCTACAGTTGGAGCCTCTGCTCCCTCCGACTTCAGTGTCTCAGGGAGCACCGCTCCCCCATGCTCAGCCCCACGAGGACTCACTCCCCAGCCCTGAGTCCCCTGCATTGTGCACAGGCGTAGGGGCCGGACAGAAGCATGGCTGCGCCCCGGCTTGGGGGGCGATGATAAAAGGCACAGTGCCTGGCCTGGGGGCACACCTGGCTGGGAAAAGAGGGATGGCTCATCGGCAGGCTCCTAACCGGTGCCAAGCACTGCCACTGAGGATCAGCACATAGGGTGTGGGAGCAGAGGCCAGGCCCCAAGGGTCCCCAGGGAGGCGGAGGTGCAGGGGGGGTTGCCAGGCAGAGTGGAGGAGCAAGGGACCAGGCTGAGGGAACAGCTGTGCGAATGAGAGGGCCCAGGGGCACTCGGGATCCTGGGACAGAATGTTGCCCTGTGACCTCAGAAGCAGCCAAAGGGCCCTGGGAGCTGGGGGGAGGGGGAGGAGAGGGCAGGAGCCTTGGGAAAGCCACTCAAGTGCTGGCCAGAGGGCTCTCCAGGCCGGGTGCTGCGGGCGGACCCTGGGAGGATGTTGCCCTGCCGGCCTCTGTGTGGCCCGCAAGGACAGGTTGGATGAGGGAGCTGCGGCAGAGCCCCGGAGGAAGCGGTGCTGTAGGGCAGCAGGACTGAGGTGTGGGGGAGCGGCGGGGGGGCGGGGGGGAGCAGGAGGGGTGGAGGTGCCCCAGCACAGGGAGAGAAATGAGGACAGTGGTGAAATGGACAGTGGGGTGGAGGGACCTCAGTCCAGACCTAGGAGCCCGGGGACCTGGGGGCCCCTGCAGGCACCTAGACACTCTGGCTCCATCTCTCAGGCCACGTGCCTTGTCCCAGAGTAGGCCCACCCTGACCCAGGACAGCCTGCCCTCAGGCACTGTCCCTCACTGCAGAGGGCCACTGGAGGCTGCTCCCACGGGCGGGGGAGGGTGGTGGGGGAGGGAGACAGTCCTGGGCTAACAGATGTGTGCGGCTTGTTTTTCAGACCAAGGGGCTGCTCCCTAGCCCGGACCCCAGGATGTAGGGCCCCCTTGGCTCTCCTTTTCCTCTGGGACACGTCCAGCCCCTCGAGGCCCCTCACACAGACCCAGGATCAGCCCATGAACTGTGAGCTTTGGAGTGGCCCTGTCACCATGGTGTGCTGGATTCACATCCTAAAACACAGAACTTCTGCCACGCCAAGTGGTCTGCACCCACTTCTCATCTGGGCAGCCTGCTCCCCAGGCTCAGCCTGAGGAGTGGGGCCAGGCCTCCTGCTTCCAGGAGTGTGTGATTGTCCTGTCCGAGCAACAGCCGTGGCGATGCTCCACGGGGCTCACCGTGGCTGCCCCTGCCTGGCACGCGCCCCCCTCCACCGCGGAGCCTGTTCCTCGCCTCGGCCTCTCCCTGCAGCGCTGCCTGCACTGCGCCCACGCCCCTGCGCACGCTCCTTGTCGGGCACATACCCGCATGCACTGAGCACGTGTGCGCACGCACTGCGCCTGTGATTTATTTTGCTCGTAAATCAGTGGCCTTCATCCCAGGCTGTGCCGCGCAGACAGGGTAGAGGGAAATAAAAAGCAGCAGTCTCGACAAACTTGGTCTCTGTCTGTTGATGCCAAAATGGGAGGGAAACTGCAGGCCTGAAGAGTGTGGGCCCACAGCAGTTTCTCTTCCTCCCTCCCCTTTTCCCCACCTTGTGACTCTCACCCGAGGCTCCTGTCTCAAACTATGAGGGGACGAGTGGAGAAGGGACAAAGATCAGGCTTGCCCTCACCCCACTACCCAGCGAGCTGCTGTTACCAGAAGCGGCTCCCACCCAGCCTGAGGGTGCCATCTGCTCAATGGCTGTCTTGGGTCTCCCAGGGGAGGCAGATGGGGGGGAGGGGCTGGCCTTTACCTTTAAGAGCATCCTTCCTACTAGCCCTCCCTTTCCCCAGGGCAGCATCAGGCAGGTCCCCAAGTCCAGAGAAGAGCCTGTAACTCCAGGTACAGCCTAGCCCGTGGCTCCCCCTCCTCCCCTTCCTGCCTCATCCCACACTGTTCACGCTGCTGGTCCTCTCCGTCCTGGAAGGGCAGGCCTCCCTAGGAAAGGGGATAGGGCTGGGGTCAGGATGGAGGGAGGGGCGTGGGGAAGGGCAGGGGCTGGTATGGGGGAGGGGAGGGGCGCTCCGAGCTGCTGGCCTCCTGCAGGCGCAGCAGGGAGAACAGGCACATGGCACAGGGCAGAGGAGGTGGAACGCGGAGGAAGGAACACAGTCCCTCCTTGGCTTCTTCCGAGTGGCCGTTTTGTGATCTTGGGCCAGCTGCCAAATGCTGCTGTGATATGGGGACTCCTTGCACCGGCACGTTGTCTGCGCCAGGCCCAAGGCCCGAGGCGGGTGCTGGCAACGGGGAATCACTTGCTCACACCCAGGCCTGCACTCAATGCTTGGGCCCAGCCCAGGCCAGAGCCCTGTGGGAAGGCCAGGGCACAGCTAAGCCAGTTGCCTTCCCCGAGCCTCAGTTTCCCCAGCCAGGGGCCAGGGTGAGTTTTGATCTCTCTCCAGACAACCCAGGGGTAAGGCTTCTGAAGGTTTCCTGGCAGGAGTCCCGAGGGTCCTAGGCCCTCCCAGAACATGCTGTCTCGGGGTTGTGGGCTGAACACACTGAACACGCTGCCCTCCCTGCCCCCCTGGCCCCATGGCCCAGCAGCTGAGCAAATGGCATCTCTCCTCCTCCCTGCCCCCTGCCATTCCAGCGCAAAGGGCACAGGCCTGACGTGCCTGCTGGCAGCTGAAGCTTTCCATACTGCTGTCAGGTTTTCCAGCGCAAGTGAGCCAGGAGGGCCAGGAATAACCCCTGGCCCCGAGGGTCTGGGGGGTGTGAGCCTGCCCGGGGCCTGCGTTCAGGCCCTGTGCCCAGGGGTGCAGGCAAGACCTCCCCCCCGCGCCCCACCCCCAATCTGGGCATTGGGAGGCACCTGTGGCTACTGGGAGCTCGTTTCTGGCCCGAGTCCCGTGGGAATTAGCCCAGGCTCCAGGGCGGCGTGACCTTGGGACAGGCACTCACCTCTCGGAGCCGGGCTCCGGCTGAGGCGCCGCCTCTCGGGTCTGAGGGGATGAGCTTGTGAAGGACCTGGAGCTGAGCTCAGCCATGCCCACAGCTGCTGCTGTTAGGATGAGCTTTTGTTGTTAATCCTCACCCAAGGGTATTTTTTACACTGATTTTTAGAGAGAGTAGAAGGGGGAGGGGGGAGAAAGAGAAAAACGTCAATTGTCTATCTCCCACATGTGCCCTGACCAACTGGGGCCAGTGGTTGAACCTATAACCCAGACACGTGCCCTTGACCAGGAATCAAACCCGAGACCCTCTGGTGTGGGCTGACACTAAGCACTGAGCCACGCAGGCTAGCATGACGATCGCTGCTGGGCCGGCACCACCTGGGGCCAGTGACGGGCCTCCAGAGATGAGGCTCCGTGCAGGCCAGCTGGAGGCTCACCTGCCCTGAGGACCACCAGGGCTCCAGGCCACACAAGGTACAGCCTTCACCAGAGAGCACAAGGCAGCATAACCAGAGCCCCAGAGCGCTGCCCAAGGGGCTCAGCTATTGTCTTCCGGGCCAGGGGTGGTGCAGCTGGGGAGAGAGCGTGCGTCCTGCTCTCCAGGTAGAGGGAGCAAGGAGGGGAGAGAGGGAGGCGAGAGCATTGTCACTGACCTGGCCAGTCCCCGTCCTGCCCCCGGGGTGCTGGGTGCTGGACACCCCTCCCCAGGGGCTATATTAGCCGTATGAGTCACGGTGGACTGCTTGGGAGGCCTGGACGGGCGGGCACAGTGTAGGGTTACAGTCCATTTATGGGCGCAGCAGAGGGCAGATATCAGTGTCGATGGCATTTGTTCCCAGCTATTCTTAGGAGCCTCTCAGAAGCGCCACACAGCCCAGCCAACAGCCAGGGACAGAGCAGGCACGGCTGGGTCGGGGTTGGGGATCAGGGCAGAGGCCTGGGCTGGGGAGGGTGTGCGAGGGCCTCTCACTCCACTCCTCCGTCCACAGAGGCTGCCGCTGTCCGCACCAGCATGTCTTACAGCGTGACCCTGGCGGGGCCTGGGCCCTGGGGCTTCCGTCTGCAAGGGGGCAAGGACTTCAACATGCCGCTCACCATCTCCCGGGTGAGTGCACTGCCGCAGCCTGGTGCCGCAGGGGTTGGCATGTTCAGAGAACGGTGTGTCTGTCCATCTGTCTGTCTTCCTCAAGGCTCTTGAAAATCAGAGCACACCCCACCCGCAGTTGGGGGCTGGGATTGGCGCCAACTGAATGTTGCCGGCCATAGCCCCCTGGTCTCTGTCGCAGCTGTTTGCCTGCCAAAGTGGCCAGCCTGCGAAATGTGGAATGTAATGGGCAAGCTGAGGGTGCTTTAAGCCGAGAGGGGCTGGCAGACAAGGGAAGGGAGGATAGCCCTTCCTCGGCAGGGTGGGCTCAGGGTGCCCCCAGGCCGGGAGTGTCTCCCTGGAAGTGGGCTTTGGGGAGAGAGCACCCACAGGGTGGAGCGGGCAGGTAACGGGGGCGGATAGGTAGATGGGCCGACTGCCCACCTTGCTGTCAGGGCTCAGGGCTGGATTCGGCTGGTTACTGGGCTCCAGCACCCATTCCATCTCAGACCCAAGATAACAGTCCCCTCCAAGGACCTGGCACTGGCTGGCCTCCTGAGGTTGGGCCTTCCTCCCTCACCTGCCTAAGCCCCTGCCCATTCACCAGGGCTGCTTACCTGCCTGTCTCACATCTTATTCCCATGCTCACCCGCCCGCCAGGGAACATGACCCTGTCCTGCCGGGTCTGCTTGCGATCAGGAATGGCACTGCCCGAGGGCAGCTCACAGACTGCTGACTGCTGGGGCACTGACACCCAGCGAGAGGAGCAGCTAGATCTGCTGAGAGAACCTTGTCTTAACCACTGCTGAGTCCCCAGGACCCACACCAGAGCCTAGAGCATAGATGCTCAGGCAACATTTGTCAAGCAAAGGGACTCTGCGAGTCTTGCAGAGCTGGGGCTGAAGGCCCTGGGTCCCGGGGTGGACTGTGAGGTATGTGAGACCTAGAGCAGCCCCCAGCAGTCCTGGTGTGGGCACGAGGGAGCCGGCAGAGGCCCCGGGCTGCCGCGGGAGGGTAATGGGTGGGCAGGAGTGTCTGGTTGCTGCCCACCTGGAAGATAGCTTTTTCTCAGGACAGGGAAGCACCGAGGTGGGCAGCTGGGGAAGGCCTGACAGCTGCTTGGCAGGGTGGTGGGAAGCCAACACCCCCATTGGAGGAGGAGTCCTGGTTGTGGAACTTGACGTGGGCCCTTGGAGGGACCCCAAGGAAATCCCCTCAGGGTGCTAGGGAGGCTGCATTTCTCGGGGGTGGGGTGCTGGCCCGGGAAACGACCTTAGCCTCCCTCGTCCTGGAGAGCTGGCTCATTCCAACTTGAGCCCGCACCCTCCAGACTACGGGCTGGGAGCCGGGGGCCATACTCAGAAGACAGCCAGGGCTTGCACACCCTGCCTCAGGGTGTGGTGACACGGGCCTCTGAGCCCAGGACACCCTGCACGTCCCCATCCCATGGCTGCAGTCTCCTCCCTGTCCACTCTCACTCTCATAGGTCCCCTGGCCACCCCACCTGGGACTGAGCCCAACCCTGCCCCAGCCCCAGCCCCACCATCCTCAAGGCCTCCTTCTGGGGCCCCCTGCCCCATCCCTGGGGTGGAGATCAGCCTCCTGGCTCAGTGACGCCAGGATGGCCATGGCCTCACCAGGGACTATGTGCCACCTGGCCTGGCCAGCGAGGCTGGATGCAGCACAGAGGCCTGAAGCTAGGCAGGAGGAAGCATGTCCTCACTGCAGGCACCAGGTGTATTGGGATGTGCTGGAGCCATGACTAGGGGGACTTTTAAGAATAGAACCCGAAGCCCAGACAAGGCATCAGGGCAGGGCACATGGCCTCCCTGCTTCCTACAGGGGCACCCCCCAAGTTACCAAGGCCATGGAGCAAGCTGGACGGGGCACCGGGCCTCCCCGGGGCTTGGAGTCTCTTGGTAAGCTGCTCTGGTAGCTGCTGATCCCCGGACTGGGGTGCCCCAGGCTCTGTGTTGCAGGCCTGCCCGAGCCCCCAGCCCTGCCCTCCCCCAGAGCTGTGGTTCTGCCTGCTGGGCTTCTCCAGGCCCTTCTGCACCAGGAACTTCTCCCCCATGGGGGTGCAGGGCCACTCCAGCTGCAGTTCACTTCCCACAGGGACTGGGGGCATATTGCAGAGGGGGGTTCCCAGGGGCAGGGTCTGCCCCTTCTCAGCAGGAGCCTCCCTCACGACCACCTGCACTGAATCCAGAGCAGGTGGTCAGCCAGGCAGGGTCAGAGCCAAGCAAACAGGCTTGAATTTGCACAGGAGCTCCTGTGGCGATCCCTGCCCCCGCGCCTGACCCTTCCCCCCTCCAGCTGGGGCTGGTAGAGGAGCACTGGGTGGGGCCAGGCACCTGTCAGCTGTAGCTCCTCCTGTGGAAAGGCTGCCGCCTGCCACCTGCAGGCTGGTGGGAGCTCAACCCACCCCATCCTGCCCACAGGCCCCTCAGCATCTCCCCTGGGACAGCAGCAGCCCGTCCGGCCTCCTTTCTGTGGGTCTCAGCCTGAGGAGCCATAGAGAAGGGGGTTCAGAAGGGAGACTCAGAGGGTAGAGGGAAGGGCCTTATTTATCCGGGACAGGTGCTGGGCCTGCAACTGGAGCTGCCCTCTCCCCGCCTTCCCCACCCCAGCAGTTCTCCAGGAAGTGGGGGAGGGGTGGGAGCAGCAACAAAGGCCCGCCCACCTGTGCCAGCCTGTGCCAGCCCCGCCGGCCACTGGCCCAGAGTCTGGGCCTGCTTTGGGCCTTGCCCCTGGGTGTACACTGGGTCCTCCCCTTAATGGGAGAGGCGTGTGCTGTTGTCCAGCTCTGCTCCTCCCAGCTTGTCACCTTGGAGAGGTGGGTTCACCCTGTAAAAGGAAGACAGTGCCTTTGTGAGATGCTATGGAACCAACGGGCACCTGTGGAGTCCTTGGCACCTGCTGTCCCTGGGCACTAGTTGTGAGAATGGCGGGGAGAGGGCCTCTGCCTGGGCGGGCAGGCCAGGGACCGGCCCTGTGGACCAGCTGGCAGTCTTCAGCTCCAGTATTTGTCAGACTCTGCCAGCTACAATGGGGACCAGAGCACAGAGGGTCCCCAGGGAGGGGAAGGCCAAGACTATTCTGGGGCAGCTGTGCCGGCAATTCCTGGAATCCAGAGCTGCTGGAGCTGCTGCTTGGGCAGCGCCTCCAAGTGCTGACAGGCCGAGCTGTTTATAGCCTTTAAGGTCAGGCAAGCCTCCCAGGCGCCCCCACCCAGGAGCAAACTGGAGAGCCCACAGGCCCTCCACGGGAATGCGTCTTAGCGGCCCCCAGCAGGCCCTCCCTGGCAGATCTCCCTGCCCTGTGACGCCCAAAGGCAGTGGGCACGAGGCTGGCTGGGGTCCTAGAGACCAGAACCTCCAAGGCCCTGGGCCGACTTCATGGACCGCCCCAGGCTCCAGGGCAGCGGCAGCAAGCATGAGGAGGCCCCTGGGCCCTGCTGGGCGGCCCTCCAGGCTGGGAGAGCTCTGTCCCTCTCTACACAGGCCCCTCCCGTCCAGGTCAGAGTCTATCGTTGCAAAGGCCCCTAGGACCACGCCTCCCCTCTCCCCAGGAAGCGTCTTAAGAGGGTTGGAGGGACTTTGCCGTGTCCCAGTACTCTGCAGGCCCGCCGGGAGGGATGTGCCCCCGGGAGCATTCTGCAGGTGACCTCCCGGACACAGACGGAGCTGTGGGCCTGGACTGGAGGAGGAGCGCTCTCGAGAGACCCTTGGAGGGCCAGGGAAGGGGATGGTGTGGTCAGCTGGAGAAGAACCAGGGACCCCTGGCTTTTGGGCGCAGGGAGGTCGTTGTCCTGTGTGGAGTGTAGGGGCCAGAGCGAGATGGCTGGTGTGAGCCACTGGGAGGTGGCGGAGGCAGGGCCTGCTGTCCCTTCCTGAGGAAGCCTGAGGTGAGGAGGGAGGGGAACGTGCCAGGAGGCGCTGGAGTAGGTCAGGCAGCGGGGAGAGACTTTATCTTTAGACTATTTTCTTAGAGCAGTTTCAGGTTCACAGTAAAATTGAGGGGAACGTACAGAGATTTTCCGTCACCCCCCCCCCCCCCCGGCCCTGCGTATGCACAGCCTCCCATTGTCAGCCTCTCCCACCGGAGCGGTGCAGTTGTTACAGCTGATGAGCCTACATGGACACATCACCACCCGTTCATTAGGGCTCACTCCTGTTGTTATACGTTCTGTGGTTTTGGACAAATGTTCGATGACATGCGTTTGCCATCCAGTGTACAGTGGTTTCCCTGCCCTAGAACCCTCTGTGCAAGGAGACGCTTTTTAAGCTTAGATAAGACTCTGCCTTGCTTATTGGCCAGGCTGGGGTTGGAAATGGGGCCATGGGGAGACAGACGTTTCCAGTAGGAGGGTGGGGGATGGAGCAAGGCCCCAGGGGAGTCCAGATGGGACTCTAAGAGCGTGGCAGGCAGTAATCTAATCGCACAATGTTAGATGCACTTAGGGCTCCACGGGAAATCCCCCGGGAAGGGTGGGGAGGAGATGCTGGAAGCGACACCATCCCAGCATCCACCGGCTGCCCTCGCTCCACTCCCCCCCACCCCGCACCCCTCCCATCACCCTGATGTGGACAAATCTGGAGTGGGAGGCAGGCAGGGCCTGTCTGCTTTTGAGCATGGGGAGAGATGGCTGGGGACTTCCTCGGGGAGCGCAGCTGCCCTCCAGCTTCCCTCCGCTGCCAGCGGCCTGGGAACTGAGGAGACAGGAGCCAGTGGCATGGGTGCCCTTGAGCCCCACCGGCGCCTTGCTTCCCCAGCAGCCTGGACAGAGTATCTCTCCCCGGTGGGTGCGAGGCCCTCCAGGGGCGGCATGTGGCTGAGGCTGCTCAGCCAGGGAAGCCCTGTGCACCCCACTCTGCCGGCTCTGGCTCTCGTTCTGGAGCCAGGGGTGCAGCCTCCCAGCCCCACCCTGCTGGCTCCTCCAGGGGGAGGAGCTGGGGCAGCACTTGGCTCCTTAGTTGGGAGCTTCCTTGAAACTCCCTCAGCTCTCTGCCCGCCTTACACAATTCCCTGTTAACAGTGCAATGCTCGCTGCCCTGGGACCAGGGTGTCCTTCTCTCCACACGCACAGGGCATGGGGCTGGCACTGCAACCTCAGGTCTGGCTCAGACCAAAGTCCATGCTTGTCCCTTCACTTCCTCCCCACGGGCTCCTGCAGGTGGTGGGGCCACAGCTGCTCGCTGGCATCGTTAGCCCTGTGTCCCTCTGGGGCCCCTGAAGACCCGGCTCAGCAGGTGGAAGGACTCCTGGTGGCAATGTTGGCCCCAAGCACTTTGAGCCCATCTGCGGGAACCTGTGAGCCGAGACACAGGCCTGGAGCTCTGCCAGGACTGGTTCCCAGCTGGTGACAGGAGAGGCGGAAAGTGCAGTGGGATGAAGTAACGATTACAAAGAGCCCTTCAAATGCTTAAGAGGAGAAAAACTAAAGAAAAGAAAACCCCCAAGGATTTGGCTGCTTTGGGTCCTTCCTGGGGTGAGGAAAGCAGAGAGGGCTAGAGTCCAACAAGAGACCCATGTGTGTCTTATGCCTGGACCGCACTCTTCACAGCGCGGGGCTCCGGGCAAGAGCGCAGGGTGCCCACCCTTCTGTGGGCCCACCTCCCCTGCAGTGGGGAGGGATGGGATGACCCTTGGGCCCAGCTGGAGATCCCAGCCTGCACCCGCCTCTCTGTGGAAAGCTGGCAGAACTGAAGAGCACTCCCTGCAGGAGGGTGGCAGCCAGGGTCCTGGATCTGCTCAGTGGCCAAAGGCCAGGCAGTTGAGCCAGGATGGGCAGACACAGGTGCAGGGAGAGAGGCGCCAGGGGCAGAGGAGCCTGGTCCTGACCAGGCCTCAGGGAGGCTGAGCTCTACCCTGGGGACAAGGACCACCCATGGGTACCTGAGGCTGCCGGGAGCAAGGCAGGGCCTGGCAAGGGGAAGTTTGGTGTGAGCCAGCCTGTGCCCAGAGGGGCTCCAAGCGCAGGACGTTCCATATTCCCCAACCCCACCCCCACCCCCTTCCTGAGTTGATCTGGCCCAGCCTCTCTTGGATGTCATTCTGGTGTCCTTGCTCACACTGTCAGCCACCATGTTCTGGACATGGCTCTGGGCCTGTCTGGCAGTTATCACTTCTGTAGGCAGCAGGCCTGCCCTGCTGTCTGGGGTCTGTGTGGACAGCACCCCCTCACCTGGGAGCTCCCTGCCGCAGGGTGATGGGCCTTCTCTGTGGTTCCTTAGAAGCATCTGGGGAGCCCTGGTGTGGGGGAGTGGGCTGGGGGGCCCTGGGGGCAGTCCACGGGAGGGCAGTGGCCTGCTCACTTCATCCCAATGGGAGCCCCGGGGCTGTGCTTTCTCTGGCGAAGCTGGCCTGGTGGGTGGAGGGAGGGACCGGCACGTGGAGCAGCAAGTTGAGTGAAATGTCACCGTCGATTAGAGCCTTGGTGGTGGGTATTTGGGTGTTCAGAGTAAGTCTGTTCCACTTTTGTAGACAATGTCTGTATAAGATGCTGGGAGAGCACAGGCCGGAAGAAGCCAGGAGGAGAGAGCGGCTCCTGCCTCAGGAGTCCCTTCTCAGCCTGCGGTGTTTTGTGTTCCTTTGCTGTTGCTTTTGGGCCCTGTTTAGCGCCTGTGTTGGTGGAGGCTCCTGGGCCTGGGCCGGCAGGAGGGTGGTGTGCAGTGTGAGAGGCGGGCTGAGAGGTAGCTCGGAAGTCCTGGGGAGCAGGCTGGACTGCAGGCCCACTGCCAACCGCGTCCTGGGTTCGTTTTTTTCCTGTCCTCATGGTCTCAGCAGACCCAGGGCGGGAGGCTGCTCTGGGCAGAGGTGGCTGTGCAAGCAGGTAGCACTCTTGCTGTGGTCACGGGGTCATCCGCTCAGTTCGGGCCGACCTGCCGAGCGCACCTGGGCACAGGCTGGCGGGCAGTGGCCGCAGGGCTCTGGCTTAGGGGAGAGTCCTGCCGGGCCAAAGCCCTGTGAGGCTTGACACCCAAGGACAGGCGACTGTCCCCGCGTCCTCTCTGGCTCCTTCTAAGATGGTCCCGAGGCCCTGGCCAGAAAAGAACGTCTGCCAGCATCAGGAGCCGGCCTCGTCCCTGGGCCCAGCCAGGACGGTGGAGCCATGTGCCCAGAGAACCAGGAAGGCTGGCTGGTGGGCAGTTGGGGAGGCAAAGCCAGGCTCCTCTTCCCAGCGCCACTCAGGGTGGGGCCTGCCTGGCCTTCCACACGTTGTGGTCACTCCAGTGATGCACAGCGCCACCTGGCGTGTCCTCAGGCGTCTTTAGAGGTGAGGCTTCATCACATTCCCCGGAATGTCCCCACAGCGGCCACCAGACTATTTCAGGTGACGTCACGAGGCCTCCAGAGTCTCCCGTGATGGCCCTGCTGGCCGGGTCTCCACAGCCCCAGGCTCTGTGGCGGGAGCCAGGTGTGTAGAGCGGGGCACTGCCCATGATGTCAGTGGGGTCGGAGCCAGAGTCCCACATAATGTTCCTGGGGTGTGGCCTTCCTGGCATTGTGTGGGGTGCTCCAGGTGGTGCAGGCCTGGCATTCTGTGATGCGGGGGGAGGGGGGGCAGACTCTAACATTCTGTGTTGTCATTAGGGTGCAGGGTTTGGGAACTGGCTCCCACCAGCACACCTCCCCTTCGGGCAGGATGAAGGCCTCAGAGCACCAAGCCCTGCCCCGTGTGCCAGCCTGCTCACCCGGCAGGGTTGACAGCGCCCAGCCTGCTGGGCTCCCTCGCATGGCAGCTCTAGGCACTCACACGAGGATGCTCTGTGAGGGGCTTCATCCTACCTGTGACCTGGCAGCATCTCTGTGGTGGTGCTGAGCCTGCTCCTGCCTATCGCCTCCCTCCGGGAGCTGGGAGGTGCTTCGTGGGTTCTAAGGTGCAGGTGGTGCAGTCAGCAAACTGGTAGCAAGAGCCCGTGTAGCCCAATGGCTCGGCACAGGGAAAGTTCATTTCTCACTCATGCAGCATCCAGTGCAGCGCACTGTGGTCATTCTCCTCCAAGTGCGGCCCCAGGGCTCAGGTCTCTTCTGCTAGTAGCTCAGCTGTCCTCTGGGTCCTCTGCATGCAGTCAGCCGGCGAGAAGAGAGAGTGCAGGGTGCAGGGTACGAGACCGACTGCTGGGGACAGGCTGGGGGTGTGTGCACCACCTCCCCCCACATCCACCAGCCACACGCAGACACAGGCACTAGGAGATGTGACGGCTGCGTGCCAGCAGGAGGGATCGGCTGGGGATCCGCGGTGCCAGCCACAGTGTAAGACAAAATGGCAGGCCTCTACCCATGACTCCAGGTGACGCTTCCCCGAAGCCTGACCCAACCTCAGGCCCACCCTCCTGATGCTCATCCCCCATCTGCGCCCTCTCAGATCACTCCAGGCAGCAAGGCGGCACAGTCCCAGCTCAGCCAGGGGGACCTCGTGGTAGCCATCGACGGCGTGAACACAGACACCATGACCCACCTGGAGGCCCAGAACAAGATCAAGTCTGCCAGCTACAACCTGAGCCTCACCCTGCAGAAGTAGGTGGAGCCCTCCAGACGGGGAGGCTGGGGGTGGGCCCAGCCCTGTGCCCAAGGTCTCGCAGGGCAGCTGGGCCAGAGGAGGACCAGGCCCAAGTCATCGTCAAGCACCTCCACGTCTGTGCTTCACTAGACAGACGAGGCTGGGAGGGTGGGTCTGGTGCTGCCAGGCGTGGGCCGTCAGGCCTGGAAGCCAGGCCTCCCTGCTTTCTCTCCTCCAGGCAGCCCCCCAAGGCCCCAGCAGAGGCCCGTGGCTGCCCAGTGCCCAAGGCCATGCTTTCCCCCCCCGGTTAGACGAGCGATTTCCTGGAGCCACCCGCCTGCCGGTGGGCAGTGGGTCTCGGGCTCTCTGACCGGCCTCCATGGCTCTCCGCGGAGCTCCTGGCCCAGACGTGACTGTCTTCACGTGGCCTCATTTCTGGTTTCTCCAGGTCGAAGCGACCCATTCCCATCTCCACGGCAGCGCCCCCGATCCAGTCTCCTCTGCCAGTGATCCCCCACCAGAAGGTAGGTGCTGACTTGGTGGCCAACTCCACTCCCAGACGCGGCTCCTGGGGTGCAGTCCCATGGCAAGGGGTCAGTCCTGCCCCCCGCTGCCCGCCGTCGCTGACCCTGGTCCTGGGGTGCAGTCCCATGGCAAGGGGTCAGTCCTGCCCCACCACTGCCTGCCGTCGCTGACCCGGGAAGGGGGCCAGCCCTGGGAGAGGAGAGCCTGCCTGGGTGCCACCTGCCAGGGCCTCATGGCTAGGCCCACGTGCCAGCAGCTTAGGCCGCGTCCTCACAGCCGGGGGCACAGTGTCCAGGGCTCTGACCCTCCCCTTCCTGAGGCCGGGGACAGGGGACTGTGGCAGGAGAGCTGGAGGCCCAGCTTGAACGGGCATCCTGGAGGAGCCCCTGGGTGTGGAGGGGCCTGGGTTTTCTCCTCTGATCTAGGCTTTCTTCCTCCGATTTCCATTCCTCCTCCCAACTGCATCGCCATAGAGCCCAGCCCCAAACGCTGGTGGTGACCAGGAGGCAGGAGAGAAGGTGGAGCCCTGGCCACAGACCTCGCCCTGTGCCCCAGGCTCCTTCCCAGCTTCCTCTAAGCAGCTCAGCCCTGTGGGCCCCAGGCCTGGGAGGTCCACCCCACCTCCCCTCCCGACATGAGCTTATGCTGATCCCTGTTTCTTCAGTGAGGCAGAGTGGGCACGGGACAGGATGAGGGGAGAGGAAGGCTGACGGGCTTGGAGGGTGGCAGATTGGGACATAGGCAGAGGCTGCTCAGGGGAAGTTGCAGAGGTGAGCCCAGGGGCCAAATGTCAGCCCCTGTTTCCTCGGTTTCCCCTCCTGCACCTCCGCTCTGCCTGCCCACTGCCAGCTGGGCCTTCACTGGCCATGTGGGGGCATCAGTGTGGGGTCAGAACAGGAGGCTGGGCTCTGCCCACCAGGGCTCCTTACTCAGGAGAAGGAGAAGCAGACATGGAGTGGAGGTGGGTGCCCCCACCCACCCAGAGTCCCTTGCTCCAGCCTCCTCTACCCCCCAGGCAGGTGGCTTGGCTTTCTGTCCAGGGGGTGCCAGCCCTGGGCCAGAGCTTTGTGCCCCCTGCTCTTCCTGACAAACGCCCTCTTCCAGGTGTGCCGTCTGCCCCCTGAGCCCAGAGCAGCAGCTGCGCGGCCGGCACTAACCCTCTGTTTCAGGTCCACACAGAAGCGCTGGATGCGTGTGGCCTCTCACTGCTCTCTTCTCTCTCCCCTGCATGGCGGCCACCCTGTGCCAGGACCCTGCTCTGGACACCAACCCCGAGGTGCGGGCCGGCCCGGGCACGGAGGTCAGGCAGACCTTAGGCGCCTCCTTCTCCCAGACCTCCGCCTTCTCCTCCCACATGGAGGCCTCTGACCCTGGTCCTCCTCAGGGCAGCCCGGGGGCCAAGACCAGCTCGGAGGGAGCCCTGCACTCGCTCAGCCCGAAAGCGCCCCAGGGCTCGAGCCAGCCCAGGCAGTATAACAACCCCATTGGCCTGTACTCGGCGGAGACGCTGAGGGAGATGGCTCAGCTGTATCAGATGAGCCTCCGAGGAAAGGCCTCAGGTGCTGGACTCCCAGGAGGGTAGGTAACGGACACAGCTCTCCAAGGTGGTCCGGGGCCACCTGGGTCCTCAGTGCTCAGACAGCCTGGTCAGGTGATCAGAGTGAGGAGCTGGCCTCCATCGCCAGCCCCAACCCCAGGAGGACCTGCAGGCTGAGAGTGGGAGCAGCTGCTGCTGGCGTCGGCGTGGGCCACGCGCATTGCTTTGCACAACTACCTGGGGGACGGGTTGGATTTGCAGAGGGAAAAACAGACTTGGGGAGGGTTAAGTCAAAGTCCAGCTGTCCAGCAACTAAATGGCCGAGCTGGGCTTGAATGCAAGAGACTCTGACACCCAAAACTGTCACACACACACACACACACACACACACACACACACACACCCAGGACAGGACAAAGCCTGCTGCCCCCAGGAGCTCCAGGGCAGGGGACAGGCTCATCTCTACCCTTCCGGGGGCCTGGAGGCAGGGGCAAGGAGGAATTAGAGAGGTGGGAAGGCAGCTCTCTAAGGCTAACTGGTCTGGGAAGGCTGCCTGGAGGGGGAAGTATCTCAGCTGGGTTCAGAGAGGCTTGGCAGCGCTGTGAAGGGTGTGGGCTTGCAGTACTGATCCTGCTGGGGTGGGGCCGCAAGGAAGCAGGACCCCAAGGAGAGGGGGGCTGTGCATAATAGCAGCCCACCCTGCCTGCTGAGGTCTGGCTGGTAGGACCCTGTGAGCACAGGAATGAAAAACCCAGAGCCGGCGCGTTGGGGGTGTGGGGGTGGGGGTGTGGAAGGAGCCTCAAGCAGAGCCTGCGGCAGTCCCTGAGTGCTTCCTGCTTGTTAACCTCATTCTAATTCTCCGTGGCCCGTGCAGTCTGCCTAGTGCTCCCTAATAATTGCGTGCTCGGAGCAGAGCAGGCTGAGTGGAGGCGTGTGGTCCAGTGGTTAGGAGGGCAGCTGGGAGGACTGAGGGCGACAGCCCGCACAGCGCTGAGCTCTGTTCTGGCGGCTCAGTACGTACTACCCGCCACTCCCTGGGGGTGCACAGCTGGTACACCAAGAGCCAGAATTACAACCCAGATCAGTCTGACCCAAGCCCATGCCACAGAAAGAACCAGGTGCCCCACAGTTCGCTACTCCCCCAGAAAACCCCCTCCCCAGGGCCCCAGCTCTCTCAGATCCTGAGTGAAGCTGGCCTCGGCACTTCCCTGGGCCGAGGTGGCAGAGCCATATACCCCTGGCTCTTTCCCCAGCAGCTTCTGCCAGAAAACTCCAGCAACACAGCATAGAAATGGCCCCTCCTCTGCCCTGGAGGGGCTGGTAACTCTTCTTGGTCCCCGGCCTGCATGAGGCCCGCCGTACTGAGCCTCAGTCTGGTCAGGGCCCTACAACAGCAAGCACTTCTCTCTTAGCACCTTCAGAGACAGCATCATTCCCGCCCCCCACTCCCCACCCCGTACCGCTGAGACTAGACGCCCAGAGAGAGTGAGTCATTCGCCCCAGGTCACACAGCTAATGAGTGGCAGGTAGGACTGGCACCTGGGTCGACTTGACTCCTCCCCTGCATGGCCACAGGGACCCACCTACCTGTCCCGGGAAGTCAAGGCCAGCCCCACCCCCTTTTCCCATGACTCCCAAGGTGCCCTCCTCTGGGCACAGGGACTTCTGGGAACCTGACAAGTACTACAGTATAACTTGGCACCACTCAGCACCAGAGGCCAGCGTGTCCTCCAAGGGAAGCGGCTGGGGAGGGAGGGCTTCCTCCAGAGGAAGGCCAGCGCTGCTGCCGGCAGGGCCACAGGCAGGGCGGAGCCTGCGAGCTGCCAGCCTGGGCAGCCTCTGCTGGGCCGAGGCGCTGCCTTCCTAAGTGTGCAGATGCTCCGAGTCCGCCCACTGGACACGGAGCCCACCCAAGGCTCTCCTCTCGGTGTTCCGTTCAGTCTGCACAGCCGTCTGTGAGGCAGGCGCTGCCACCTCCCTTTCACAAAGGGAGGCAGGTGACTTGCCCAGTCAGTGCTGGGAAGAGGCAGGGCCAAGATTTGGACTCTGTCCAGTCTGGCTTTAAAAGGAAGTTCCTTCCCCAACTCTCTCTCCTTCTCTCTCTCTGAGCAGTTTGCAGTGTGTTTTCCTGGCAGCGTCTATCCTGGGAGGCGTGAGAAGACGAATGGGGTACAGGGACAGTGGGCCTGAGCATCCCTGCACCCCTTCTTGTTCTCTCTGGGGCTGGACTGGAGGCAGTGCCCGCCAGGCCACCCTGCTGTGAGGGCCCTGTGCAGGTCTTTCAGCTCTGGGGCCTCTGAGTTATGTCTGTTGCAGGCCTCCCAGCCCCCAGGTCTGCAGACGGGAGCTAAGCAGGGGGCAGGAATCAATGCCCAAGAAGGAGCTGGCTGCCCAGGCAGGGCAGAGGCAGCCCCAGAGGTCAAGGCTGCCCTTTGCAGGGGGCACACTGGTCAGGGCAAGAGCTGACCCTGCAGCTGTCAGCACTGGCCAAAGATGGAGAGGGGATGGGAGCTCTGTGCTGGCCTCTCCTAATATAGCGCCACTGGCAGCTATTTTGAGACTGGGAGGACAGAGGACATTTTATCAGCTCTGACACATGGGCTTGAGGCTGAGCAGGGGCCCTGGCTCTGCCTGGATCCCCAGGGTCTGGGCCAAAGGATGAGCAGAGCCAGGCCAGCTGGGGCCCAGGCTCCCCTGTCAGAGCCCACCGTGGTCACATCTGAGACGCTGGCTGAGTTTGGGGCAAGGAGGCTACATGCACTCTTCCGCCCTCACCCCTCCAGGCCTCAGATAGCGGCAGGATCTGCTGGGGCAAGGAATTTGTGCTCAAAGGGATGAATGCAGGCAATGCTTGCCCAAGGAGAGGGTGCTCCGGAGGCTCACTCAGAGGAGAGGGCCGAGGGCCTCTGTGGTACCCGAGACGGGCTGCCTGCCTGAGGCTTTCCTGCCATCAGCCTTGGAGCCAGACTTCTGAGCCTCCTTGCTCCTCGTTCTGCCTGTTGCCCATCCAGGGCCTGTAGGAGCCGTAATTGGAGCCCGCACAGACCCCACCCCTGTGCCCAGGAGGAGTGGCCACGGCTGCCTGCCCCTCACCTGAGAGGGAGGGCAGGTCCCTGGGGCTGTGGGTCACCCCACCTCACATACACCCTAGCACCATGCAACTCCTGCCCAGGGAGCAGAGCTCCCAGAGCCCCCACTGTACAAGGGCACGTCCAAAGCTGCTGTCTGGCCAGGAGGTGCCTGGGCCTTGGCAGCGGCAGCTAAGGGTCTCCTCCAGGCTGTGTGGGGATTGCATGTACATGTGCCCTTAAAGATGGACCATAACCCTTCTTGGCAAAGCTTTGGGTACTAGGGACCCACTGAGGAAAGCCGCTGTGGACTCAGCTCTGCACCCCTCTCGGCACTCTCTGCGGCTCTGCCCTGCCGTGGGCCCTGGCCCTGGCCCTGGCCCTGGCCGAGCCTCCTGGCCCAGCCTCCCTGACAGCCCTCTTCCCTGCTCTTTCTCTCCTCCCAGGTGATAGCCAACTCTCCAGCCAAGTTAGTATCGAAGGAAAGCATGCGTGTGCTCTTGCGTGCATATCCCAGCATGCGTCGGTCTGGACCACGTGTGCCTGTGCCAGCATGTGTCCGTGTGTGTGCATGCGTGCGAGGGGGTGCATTTGTCTCAAGTGCGCCTGCATGCGTGAAGCCGCGAGTGTGGAGGGAAGCGCAGGGAGGGGTGCTAGGGCTCGGCCTGACGCCCTGCGTGCAGTTCTCCATCTCGGGCAGCTGCCCAAGGCCAGCAGGCGGCTCTGGGGCGGCGGGGGAGCGCCGCCTGACCTGGGCTCTTCCTGAGCCTGAAGATCTCTGTCCTGGTGGGACCCTCAGCGGGCTGCCCCTGACCTTGTGTTTGCCTGGGGAGCACCTGCCTGTCAAGGGGAGAGCCCTGTTGGGTAGACTGGTGGCCACACAGCAGGCGGGACTTGAGGGGGCCTGAGCAGAGCCCTGCTCTGAGGAAGAAGCTCGCCCGAAGCATCCAGAGGAGCAGAACGCTGGCCACCAGGGGGCGGCTGGCAGGATGAGGTCCGCGGCAGAGGAACGAGGCCACCATCTCCATGGTTGCCCAGCGGGGCTGCTTTTCGCCTTTGGCCGTCCTGGACTCTGCTTGGGCTGCTGCTGCCTGGCCCCGTGGCCCAGCGCCTGTGCCACACTCCCAAGCCCCTCTCCCCAACCCATTTTGTCTCTGCTTCCCGGCTGGTGTGGTGAGAGCTTCCAACGCCTGGCGCCCCCTGCTGGCCCTGGGCGATGGCTCGCCTGAGCGGGGACCTCCAGGGATGGGGAAGCCCAGACGGGCAAGAGCAGCCTCTGCAGGGGGCTGTGGGGAGGTGCGAGGATTTCCGACCTGGCCCGGGGATCAGACTTTGGGTGGTCTCTCTTGACACCTCCACAGCCCTCCCTGGATGGCCCAGGTAACTCCACCTGTTGCCCTTCTCTCCTCCCACCTCCCCCCTGCACCCCCTGCTCCCCCTAGTGCGGACTACCAGGAGCGCTTCAACCCCAATGCCCTGAAGGACTCGGCCCTGTCCACCCACAAGCCCATCGAGGTGAAGGGGCTGGGCGGCAAGGCCACCATCATCCACGCACAGTACAACACGCCCATCAGCATGTACTCCCAGGACGCCATCATGGACGCCATTGCTGGGCAGGCCCAGGCCCAGGGCAGTGACTTCAGTGGGTAAGCGCCCTCCCTCCGCAGTGGCTCACGGCTCACCACCTCAGCCGCTGGCTGGGCCTCATCCCGCGAGGCTGAGGGTGCCAGGCTGCCGGCACCCGCAGAGACCTTAGGCATCAAGACCGGCTCTCCTCCTTGGCCTTGGCTTCCCGGCACAGCCCAGGGGCCCAGCACAGGGTGTCCTCTCCTCAGAACTAATCTCTGGGCCAGCTGTAGGAGAAAGGGAGAGACGCAGAGTATGGCGACTCCTCCACATGCTGCCACAGCCTCTGCCTTTCCCGGGCCCCGTGGGGCTGGGTTGGGAAGAGACCTCTGGAATCTCGTTAACCTGAGTCACACTCTCGTTCTGGATACCCCGGTCTTCCCTCACTGAGCCTTTCTGTGGAGAGAGGTTGCTGCATTCTTCCAGAGATGAGAGCGATTCCAATGTGTGACTGGCTTCTTGTCTAGGAAGGGCTGTGGAGCCTGGAGCCCCAGGCTGGGCTGCTGCTCCTCCTGCCTGCCCCAGGCAGCCTGACCCCAGGTCCGAGGGACTGAGGGCGTCGGGGTCCCTGGAATTTGCCTGTTCTCCACTTGAGGGCTAAATAGGGAAGAGTTGGCTGAAAATCATTTGTGGATGAAACTGCTAATAGTGCAAACATTAATGGGGACCTCTTCCTCTTTTGTTAAAAAAAATATTTTTATTGATTTCAGAGAGGAAGGGAGAGGGACAGAGAGAGACATTAATGATGAGAAAGGATCATTGATCAGCTGCCTCCTGCACACCCCTACTGGGGATCGAGCCTGCAACTCCAGCATGTGCCCTTGACTGGGAATTGAACCGTGACCTCCTGGTTCACAGGTCGAGGCTCTACCACTGAGCCACACTGGCTGGGTGGGACCTCTTCCTCTTTTTGTGTTTCTGTCTCCCTTGGTTTCTCTTTCTCTTCCTTTTTCTGTGTGTGCTTCTGCCTCTTTCATTCTCTGTTCTCTGCCTCTCTCTGTCTTTCTCTTGTCTCACACGTGCGCACACACACACAGAGCGACTGTTTTCTGCTTGGGAATGACATGAGTGTTGATTTTCAGAGCTGACTGACTATCTCTTTGGCCAACATCTTATCCCTGACTCAGTATCTCCAGCAACTCAAGGCAAAAAAAAAGTCTTAAAATGATGTACTTTTTTCTGAAACTAAGAAAAACAATGTTGTAAGAGGGATCAAGGGGTTAAAAAGTCCCAGAAAACTCCAATAGTGTTTGACCTTTGCAGAACGCCACTGTGCTCTGAGTGCAGGCTTCGGGGCAGAGGGGGGAGCCTAGCCAAGGAGGCGGTGCTTCCTGGGGCCACCAGCGGGCGGGAGCTGCTCGCCCTGGAGCTGTGGGTCTCAAACTGGCCTGGCTCAGGCGGAACTCTAGACAGTGTTGATTTCATTCCATGGCTCGAAGCAGAAACCATGACAATGCAATTTTAAAAACACAACCTTTATCTCATGTGAACCCAGAAAAAAGCGGCCTGGCTAAGCCGAAGAGATAACAGGGATTTCCTGCTCACACTTGTTTGCCCCAGAATGTGGCAGGTGTGTCCTTGGTGTGCTCCTAAGGGTGGCCACCATTGCCAAGGGGAAGCTCAGTGGCAGATAATGGAAGAACGACTCTGCAAAAGAACTTGACTTTCTGCGCTTGGGAAAAGGATGCTATTGTTTGGTCTTTTTAACATGATGCACCGTTAACCTTATCTGGTCTTCTGGAAGGACTGTTCCCATCTCCCTGCTACCTCTCCCAGCCCCACCCTGCCCTGCCCTGCCCTGTGTGCCTGGGAAGCACCATGCACTCCCCTCCTCCTAACGCAGCCCTGCGGGGCTGGTGCGCGTGGTAAGAGCTGCCCTCGGCCCGGTGCCTAAGGTGCTCCGTTTCTGCTGTGAATTTCCATGATGCCTTCCTCACTGACAGTTTTCTTTTTGTCTCTCTCTTCCTCCTTTATCCATCCCACTCCCATAACTCATTTCTGATCCCAACCCTGCTCCCCTGTGTGTGCGCCGCCCCTGCCATCCCCTGATGGACACACACTCACTGCTGGGCTTTCCTCTGCTTGGCAGGGCGTCGCCACTGGCGTAAGTAGACTCCAGTGTCTGTTCCATCGTCCGTCTGTCTGGTTGTGGGGCGGTGTGTGGGTTTGGTGGGCTGTGCCTGAGGACAGTGCCTCTGTCTGTGTTCTCCTCACGCCTACCTCACAGCCACATGACATGCCCCGCGGCCTGTACAGGCTTGTCTTTGAGGGTTTGCCCCCGAATAATGTCACTATGGACACAGATGAGAGTTAAAACCACTCATGCTGGCCCCAGGCTGGGGTCTCTGTGTTCTCCTTGCCATGCTTCGCGGGGCTCCCCCGGCCTTTTCTGCTGCACTGGGAGATTGTAGACCTGCCGTTCAGCATCCACGCCGGCCATTACTCAGGGCAGAGGGTGGTAAGGGGGCCTCTTAGAGGCCCCTCCCCAGACCCCAGAACCTGGACCTGAAGGAGCCAGCGCTTGCCAAGGCCACCCAAGGGGGCCAACGACGAGTCAGGCTTGAGGGCAGTGTGAGTGGGGTCAATGCCCCAGGGTGACCCTAACTTGTGGTCTCTGGAGTGTTTTTGGTGGCAAGAAGGTCGTGCTGGGAGGAGCTCCAGCCTCAGACCCAGGGTCCCAGGACGTGGGGCCTGTTCTGCTCTCTGCGTCTATTATTCAGAGTGCCCTCGCGGGCTCCCGGCTCTGCTGCAGGCTCACCCGTCTCCGCGCAGGTGGTAGGAAGGGGCCGAGGACGGAAGCCCCAGCGACACATTCCCAGCAGCCTGGAGCCCTGGGAGCTCAGGGAGGACGGGGAGCACCTCAGGGCACGTTCTGGGGAGACTGCAGCAAAGGCGTCCGGCTGCTTCCTGGCACAGAGTTCAGTGTGGGCAGGCTCACAGGAGAGGCCTGGCCTGGGCCTGCACTCCGGCCCACAGCACAGTCCAGACTTCCTCCCGGCAGAACAGGGCGCCCTGATTGTGCCTTCCCATCGCCCGCCTCACCAAAGACAGTAGGCCCAGCCTCTGCTTTGAGACCCTTGGGACATCTGCCTGTGCTGGAAATGGCACCCCCAGTGAGACCCCACCCTCCTCTGTTCCTGATCCAAAGGGCTCCTCCCTGCCTGGACCCCGAGGGATTCACTGGTCTTCCCCATGGACCCCAACCTGTAGCTCCCTGGCCAGGGCACAGCCTTCAGGCAAGGAGGCAGCTCCGCCCGTTTCTGCCTCCTGTTGTCACCTGTCTTTACCTGCAGCTGTAGCCCACCCTGACCCAGACACAGGGTGCCAAGCCCAGAGACTCATGGGAGACAAGATCAGTGCTGGAGGGCTCCTTGTCCAGAGGGTAGAAGATGTGGGAACTGAGGAGGCCCTGGGGGTGCAGGGAGAGGCAGCCTGAGAGGCAGGCAGGGGTTGCCGACAGGGCCGGTGTCTGGGCTGGGCCTTTTCTAGGCATAGAGCGTCTGCGGTGTCTGAGGCCCAGTGCACAGAAGTGGCCTTCCAAGCCCTGTCACTGTGAGTCTGACGGAAAGACACTGGGCTGGGAGCCGGGAAGCCTGGCCCTGACTCTGTTGGGCCCCTACACGCTGTAACCGGGAGCTGGTCTTCTGGTCTCGCTGGAGCTGTTTCAGCATCAGCACGTGCCTGGCTGGGCCGCTGGCCGGGGAGGCAGGCGGCAGTGCTGTGAGCTCCCCCTGAGTCACGCAGGCTGGGCAGGGTGCGTGGGCACCCAGAAAGCTTTGGATCTACCCTGCCCGCAGTCTGGGAGGCACTGAACCCAAGCGGCTCTGGGTTGGGATTGGCTCCGATATGGGATTAATTTATCCAGCTACATTGTGAGCACTACTATGTGCCGGGTCCTGGGAGTCTAAGGCAAGGGAAGGCCACCAGGTCGCCCTCAATAGGCGGGGGCAGAGACCAGGAACCCGCCTGCAGCTCCACTCCCAGCACCCCCAGGGCAGAGCCTGCTATCTGCAGGTGATACCCCCCACATGGCCTCGTTGCTGTGTTTCTCATCCCCACCCCACCCCACCCCACCCTATTGTGCCTGCCTGTGTGTAGCCAAGTCACAGCCTTCAGTCCTCTCCTAAGGCGGTCACGGCACTGGGGGGAGGGTCCCGATTGACCCGTCCTCACTTAGCCCCAAACTCAGGGCCTGCTCAGGGCGCTGGAAATTACTTCTAGAAGATGTCTCCTGCCTCCTCTCTCCTTAAAGGTGGGATGTCCTCAGGTCTGTGCCTGCAACTTGCAAGTTGGGGTGGGGGGGTGCTGGCTGGAGGACCTGCGCCTCTGACCCCCTGTGAGAGGAATCACTGTCTAATTGTGACCACCCTGAGCACTGAGCACCCAGCTGACCCCTGCCCCAGGCTCTCAGGTGGCAGTGGGGAAAGGGCATGGTGGGTTCAGACAAGTAGGGGCCACCGCGGGGGGTGCCCGGGAGTCAGTGTGGGGGAGGGGAGGAGGTAGGGAGCAGGCTCCAGCCCAGCCCTCGCCCACCGGTCGCTCTGCATCGCAGGAGCCTTCCGGTTAAAGACCTCGCGGTGGACAGCGCCTCTCCCGTGTACCAGGCTGTGATTAAGAACCAGAACAAGCCGGAAGATGAGGCTGATGAGTGGGCCCGCCGCTCCTCCAACCTTCAGTCTCGCTCCTTCCGCATCCTGGCCCAGATGACAGGAACTGAGTACAGTGAGTGGGGCCGGGGGCGGGCAGAAAGGCAAGGTGCTGCGGGACCACGAGGGTCCTGGGTCCCACTCCGCAGTCCACAGAAGCCAGGGAGTTGAGCCCCTGACCCCTGACCCCCTGAAGCTGAGCTGGCCTTGAGATGAACAGCGGCCCTTGGAGCCCTTCTGGACCCTGGGGCAGGCAAGTGACAGAGCCTTCTGCTCAGCGCCCTGACCAAACAACGGGCAGCAGGCTTGCATGGTGTTTCCAGGCAAAATGACTGCCCAGAGCTGCCCACGCCTCTGACCACCCGCACCCAGCGGCCCTCTGCCCAGCACACAGCTCTCCCTTCCTCGTTCATAGGCCGGGGAGGCCCTGTCCAGTCCTGGGCAGGGCCTCTGTCCTCAGAGCTCAGGTAGCTTTTCTCTCCTGGGCTCCCGATTCGCCTCCTGACCAGCGGCTTTCTCCCCACAGTGCAAGACCCTGATGAGGAAGCTTTGCGAAGGTCAAGGTAAGCGCCCGGACTCAGGCTCTGGCCTTGCCCCTCCTAATCCCACCCCTCCCGGCAGCCCCCAGGTCACAGGACTTATGGAAGGCACCTCTCACGTTCATGTATTTGGAAACACCTGGCCCCTAAGGGGCTTCAGCAGATGCAGGGGCCTTTGCCCAGGTCAGTGAGGTGGGTGCCTGCAGCTGAGTCTCTGTCCCCTGGGCCCAGGTGTGAGGACTTGGGCTCTCCTGGCCTGTCCAGGGCCGGGGGCAGGGCTGCTTTGGCCTTTGCTAGGCTGTTGAGAACGAGGGCATCTCTCCCTGTGGGGCACCGAGCCAGCTGCCGTGCCTGCACACCCTGTGAGTCTGGAGGCTAGGCGCAGGAAGCAGGCACCAGGAGGGCTGTGCTGGGCATGGGCGCTGAGCCCTGGGCTCACTTGTCCAGACCGTGAGGTATCAGTTCTGTAAATTGCTCAAAATACAGCAGCTGCTGTAAGGAAGGACAAGCCCTGGGCATGAGGAGGAGCTTGTGCAGGACTAGGTGTCTCAAGGTCAAGATATGGTTCTGAAACACTGGCAGGCCTGAGGCCACAGCCACTAACCTGCCACCTGTGGTCTGTCAGGTGCTCATGGACCATGGCATGAGGGGGCACACTGCCCAGGCACCCACTGGAACCCACTAGGGTCTTCCATGATGGGCATCGAGCCCAGTGTGACTGTGCTGTACTGTACTTTGGATGCAAATGTCACCTGCATGTTCTTCCTGAGAGAATCCGCCCTGGAAGTGCACCCTGCGTGGCTTCTGTGGGAGGCTGGGGCTCAGAGCCGCCTTCCGCTCTGGGCCAAGCTCTCTGTCCTCGCTAACCTGCTGGCGTGGCCACAGGGTGTGCGGGCGTGGAACTCGGGCTGCTGGAGTTGGTGTGGACTTGCTTTCTGAACCGGTTGCTGCTGCTCCGAATGCTCCCACTCTTTGGCTGGGCTTCCGGGCCTAAAGGTCCCTCTAGGCTGCTGACACAGCGTGCAGCTCCCAAGGCGGGTCCCGCCTGTCAGTGCCTGCGATGTGCCATCTGCGCCTGGAATGAGATGATGTTTGATTTAGCTCAAGAGTTAGTATCTAGCTGTATTTTTCAATTTTTTATTTATTGGGTTGAGGCACGGGGGGTGGGGAGGTGGATGTTGTTCCACTTACTTAAATGCATTCATCTGTTGATTCTTGTATGTGCCCTGACTGGGGATTGAACCCACAACCCTGGGGTATGGGGATGATGCTCAAACCAGCTGAGCGACCCGGCCAGGACCAGTATCCAGCTGTTTTAAGTGTGACTGAGCTGTCAGCTCACCCTGTCCTATGTCCCTGCTCCTGTGTGCTGTTTCTGTTCGTCCCACCTCCCCTTTGAAGCCACCCACATACTAGTAGATGCGGGCGCTTAGCCTTACCTGAGACTTGATAAGCGCTTCACAGCACCACCCCCCCCCCCCATACACACACACACAAAACAAACAGCTTCAAAGTCCCCAGGTTCCTTCCAACAAGAAGCTGGCAGGGGGGCCTGCTCTCCCTCCCATGAGGCAGCCCTGCCTCTGGCCCCTGCCCCCTCTGGTGTACTTCTGGCCACTCGCCGCTCCTCCCGCAGGCCACTCTCCGCTTGTACCGCATTAACTGGACGCCATTCAGGAGGCAGGAGGGTACTGGTGGCGGCAGATTACAGGGACTCCTGTCTTTTGTCTTTCCCTGGGATATTTGTAGACACTGAGAAGTTATTGAGTGAGGAGACACAACAGGCAGTATTTAGGGTGGCCCCAGGCCTCATTGTTGGCCCCATCCTGGCTTTCAGGAGTACCTGCTAAAGCTGGTCCTGCCTGGTTCTGTAGACAGCCTGCTCAGCCCCAGCAGCAGGCAGGCACCTCCCTGCAGGCGGGCAGTGCCGGGCGCCCAGCGCCTCTGGGAGAGCAGCACCAACGGGCCTCCACCCAGAAGCCAAACCTCTAACCTCAGAGAAGTTGCCAGCCTCTCTGGGACCGTAGGAGGCAGGTCCCTGCGAGGCAGCCCTGATGGGGCTTCATCCAGGCAGGGCCGGAATTGTGAGGAATTGGGATTCCTCTGGCGTAGAGATCCCTATGTGTAGAGATCCCTGGTCCCCACCTGGTGGCACAACTATCTCCAAGTCTCTGTGCTCACCTAATGCTCCCTGTAAAGGGCCTTCCTCGCCAAGGCCCCCAGGTGAAGGAATCAGGCTGATTGTAGTGATGAGCTCACAGGAGGTGAAGGGGAGGGTTGCCTTGCACACCCCTCCACAAGCAACGTGACCTCCCCCAATCCCTTCTCCAAGCCCATTCGGGGTTCCTTTTCCTCTCCTCGCCTGGCCCTCCCAATAGCCCAGGACTCCAAAGTGTCCTCCCTCCCCACAGGGTCCTCCCTCCCTGGGAGCACTCAGCTCCTCCGTGTACACCTGGCCCACTCCGGTGCCACCTGGCTCAGGGCCCTCGCTCAAAGGGAGCCCCCGTGAGGAGCAGTGGGCAGCTATTGGCAACGAAATTACCTGCATTTTGTGGACATGTTGGTCCTTGGTGCTCTGCCAGCCTAGCACGTTTGAAAGCCACAGCTGGAGAGACCAGGACAGCCTCCATGTCCCCTGAGCAGCCCTTATGGGCGTCTGGGACCTCTCTCCCTTCCTTTCTCCCTCCCCTCTCCTTTTCCTTCTCTCCCCACTCCTGTCTGGCTGCCTGTGGATTTCCAAACAGCTCCAACCAGAACAGGCTCCCTAGACTCAGGCGCTCCCTGGCTCCCTGCGCTGTGCCTGAGCTGATGCAGCGGCCGCAGGCCTGACTGGTCAGGGCGGCCGGCTGGGCAGTGCAGCTAGCTGGGCAGTGGAGCTGGCTGGGCAGTGTGGCTTGCTGGGCAGTGCGGCTGGCTGGGCAGGGTGGCTGGCTGGGCAGTGGAGCTGGCTGGGCAGTGGAGCTGGCTGGGCAGTGTGGCTTGCTGGGCAGTGCGGCTGGCTGGGCAGGGCGACTGGCTGGGCAGTGGAGCTGGCTGGGCAGGGCGGCTGGCTGGGCAGTGGAGCTGGCTGGGCAGGGCGGCTGGCTGGGCAGTGGAGCTGGCTAGGGCGTCTGGCTGGGCAGTGGAACTGGCTGGGCAGGGCGGCTGGCTGGGCAGTGGAGCTGGCTGGGCAGTGGAGCTGGCTGGGCAGGGTGTCTGGCTGGGCAGTGCGGCTGGCTGTGCAGGGCGGCTGGCTGGGCTGTGCGGCTGTCTGTGCAGTGCGGCTGTCTGTGCAGTGCGGCTGGCTGGGCAGTGGAGCTGGCTGGGCAGGGTGTCTGGCTGGGCAGTGCGGCTGTCTGTGCAGTGGAGCTGGCTGGTCAGTGCGGCTGGCTGGGCAGGGCGGCTGGCTGGGCAGGGCGGCTGGCTGTGCTGCGACTGCAGCCTGGGTGGCTCTCCGGGTGGTCTCTGGTGCTGTTGGCAGGCTGTGTGGCCTGGCGGCGGGGCCTCTGCCCATGCTGTCTTACCCCTTCTCTTGACCTCGGAGAGGCTGGCGCGTGGAGGGCGTCCGATGCTGAGTCTCCAGGTGGCTCAGGCCATTCACGATGCCTCTGGGCCTAGGCTCCTCTGGGCATTAGGGTGCTTTCACCTATGTGAGCAGTGGGCCCCTTCTGTCCAGCAGAATCTTACAGAGACCAAATATGCAGGACTCAAGGTGTGGGGCGTCCACCAGGTAACGCCGATAGGGGCAGGTGCCAAGTGTAAATGTGGGGACGTGGGACTGTTACACGGAGACATGTAGGACGAGCCTCCTCTGGTTTTTAAAGACCTAACCCTGACCTTCCTGATTTTTATAGCTGCAATTCACTTATTGAGCCATTTATTTTGAGATAATTGCAGATTGACATGTAGTTGTAGGAAATAATACAGAGAGCACCCTTTACCCCAATGGTAATGGCACAGCTGGGTGTGGCCGCTGGCGGTCGGGTGCAGAACCCTTCCACCCCAAGCCTTCCCTGCTGTTGCCTTTTTATCGCGACACCACCACACCCCCTCCCCACCCTGTGGCACGGCAACCGCTAAGCGGTGATCTTTTCTCCATTTCTATAACTTTGTCATTTAGAGAATGTTGTATAAGTAGGATCATAAAGCCTCCGGCCTGTGGGACTGGATTCTCTGTTGGCCTAATTCACTCCCTCTCCTCATACACATCTCTTCTCCCACCCCCTCCCCCAAAGCCTCTGGATTCCGGACTCTTCCCAGCCCCCGGCCAGTGTCTCTCCCAAAGAAGCACCCACTCTCACTTTTCACTCGAGGGTTCCTCTGCTTCTTGGCAGCTAAGATCTGCCTTCAAACCAACACCGTCGCCCTCTAAAAGCCCTCCCGCAACTGCCCGATCCACCTGCCGCGGCTCCTCATGCCCTCCTCGCATTTCCCCGTGCCCACTGAGCACACCTATGGCTCGCTCGTGTCTTTTTGTTGCTGAGTAGTAGTCCATGGCCTGCGTGAGCAGTTCCATGTGGCTGACTGTGACCCTGGGCCACCAGGTGCGCCTCTGGCCTGAAGGCGTGAGAGGCCCTTGCAGCCCCGGCAGGGGTCAGGATTCCGGCATCCATGTCAACGGCCTTTCCCAGAGTCTCCTCCCCTCCATTTCTGTGTTTCTGGCTGTTCATTACCTAGTTTTCTTGTGCCCTCAGCCGAGGGGCTGTGGGTTGAGCCCAGAGCCCTGCTGGTGGGAAGTGGAGGAAGTCCTGGCCCTGTATGTGTGCCGGCAGTCTTGTGAGTACGTGTGCACGTGTGTGCTGGCGTGCTCAGGCCCGGAAGGGCAGGGCCAGGCATGGTGTCGGAAGGCTTCTCTCTGGGGACAGACAAGGGTTGGCAGAGAGTGGGCAGCACAGCGAGGTGGCAGGCCTGCTCGCCCAGCCTCACCACAGGGACAGGTGTTTCTCCTCCTTCATGCCCAGTGAGGGCTCTGGGGCCAGGAGAGGCCCCCGCCTATGTGTTCAGCCTCGAGATCCCACAGCCAAAGCAGCCCTGCCCAGGCCTCA